GCTAGTTCTCAAGTAGCAGTGGCTGACTGTTTTTTGTTGATTAGTTTTTCTCAATTTGTTAGGACAGTTTTTAGCCACGGTAGCTTGCTAGCCGCAGCTCGTACTGGGCAAGTTAGCTTTGAGCCTAGCTTGGCCCTGCTAGTTCTCAAGTAGCAGTGGGTTTTTTTGTTGTTTAGTTCTTCTCAGCAGTAGTGGCCAGATTTCCATCGTCAACCCTGTCAACTGTTCACCTCGAATTTCAACATTAGCTAAAACGTACTCGCTTGTCGCTTTAAAAGTCAAGTGTCCTTTTCAGGGTCCCATCGCAGTGTAATCCAAAAAGTGCAATCAACACTATTGCGCCTCGAACTCGTCATTTTCACTCTTCCGGTGAGAGAGCAGATCTGCTGTAAATCAGATTCTGGACGCTCCTCCCAGTAGAATTGCTGCCATTAAAAAGAGGTCAGTTGAGGTGTTGCGGGCGTATTTGAGGTTTTCCAGGCACGTTTCAACAGCAGAGTCGCACAGGATTTGATCCAATCTGTCCCGGGGCCGCCTCGGGATCCCTTTCGGATGTGGACATGTGGCTCGCCCAGAAAAGGGACGTAATTGCATTATCGGGCGCGATAATTGATGATTAAATAATACTCGGCATTATTTTGCGGCGTACGGCGCATTAGGGACGTGTCGGTTGAAGGCGATGGGATGAAGGATGTGCAGTGAGCGGGGTCGAGGTAATGAGTCAGGCAGCCCTGAGCCCCGGCGGCGGGAAGCCATAAAAGTGTGAGATTGATAGTTTTTTAATATGTCGACAGCAGCTCCTAGTTAAGGCCCCCCCCCCATCTCATTTCTGCCTCAAACGCAAACTAGTGAACAAAGGCGGCAGATCTGGTAAAAGGTACTCATGGAAGTGGAGCAGTTGGACAGCTCAATGCTTTCGAGTGACTTTTTACACATTGCCCTAATTTTTACTCATCATTTGAGCGTGAAATGTAAAAAGAACTAACACGTCAGTTTAGCTTGATGCTAACAAACAAAACGCCACACGGGGGTTCACGGATAGCATCAATGGCTCTATTTCTGATTATTAAAAAACAAACTGGAATTGATTAATGGTCTTTCCATTCAGTTCAATGGAGTAAAGATGATTTTAAAACCTGCGACGTGCTTTTTAGTGACGCGTTTCTTCCTTCGCCAAGCGAGCATCTCCCGCCACCGAAGGTCTTCCACCGGAGCCCGCTGACTCCCACTGTAAGCAGTTTTGCTCACTAATGCCACACTCATGCACAGAAATGTCACCGGTGAAGCGGTAATGGTGTTTTTTTTCGATCCCTTTGCCACTGACATTTGCAAATATTTGCAAAAAGGCGAGGGCTTTTTCGCCCCGGTGGTGTCGCGGCGAACGCCGGCGGGATCCCCGCCATTGTTTGCCCTTTGAATTGCCAACTTGATAAG